TTTACACAGAGTTGAACCAAAAATATTAAAAGTAATTTCTCTGTTTATAAACTCTCATTGAGCTTTTTGTAGTTTATTATTATATTGCGTTCGTTTGCATTATCCACACGGGCATGAGTCAAAATTATAATTTATATAAAATAAAATGGTCTTAGCCGTTGAATTTGTTTGGGCGTGTACAACTTATGTAGTCATGCTCTAAAATCTGACGGCCATTAGGTGAATAAAATAATAGCCTTCCCATGATTTACAAACTGCCAAATTACTTAAATAATATATCCTTTCCATTTTTTTAACATTTAAAATTCTTGATGTTTAATTGCTTGTTTGAATGGTATTTTTTTCAAAGTATGAAATTTTGAAAAAAAAAAAAACACACAATCAAGTTTTTAATTAATTATATTAGGTTTACTTAATTATTTCGATAATATATTTTTCTGCCATAATCTCAAGCATATAAGATCTTCGAGAATCATCTATGATTTTCTTAATGCATTTTGCAATTTACTACTTATAAGGGCAGCTAGATAAATTTCTTCTTAAAGCCTTAGCTAAATCATTTGTCTATGGGTAGTCAATTTTAAATTAAGTTATGAATCTATCCATCTTTATACTTTAGATAGAATTGTATAAGAATGGTAGGGCTAATGGCTTATGGAAGATATTGAATATCATCTTTAGCAATCGGATGAATTTGAAAGGAATATCGGTGCAAAAATTATTTAATGAGTTAGTAATTTCATAATTTACTTATTGATGAGTGACAAACGAGTTGACAATGACAATGATTCAATTATATTTTAAGTGAGTTAATGACATTTGGTTATATGGCATAGGTTACAAGGAGGATCAATATGCCCAATTATATTTTTATATATCCCAATTCTCGAAAGACCAATTGACTTTGGTAGGGTGAAGCGAATTTTAAGGTTACTATAAGACTATGCATTGAATATGACATTGGTGACATGTGCAAATATGTCACTCTAAATCACAGACTATGTGCTAATCTGATAAAATTATGATGATCATAACCATCCTTAATTTTATTAATTGTATGATTAGTGTAATCATGGCGAACATCACATTAACATTTACATGGCATGTGAATAGGGTAGGGCTAATGACTTCTGGGATACATCGAGCATCATCTTTAATAATTGGATGACTTTAAAAGGAATAACGGTGCAAAAATTAGTGAATGAGTTAGTGATTCAATGATTTAACTTAGTGATGAGTGGCCAACAAGTTCGTAATGATCATAATGAGTCGATTACACTTCTTGTGGGTTAAAGAACCCATTCATCTTTGTGTCTTTATTTCTTCTTTGACTATTGTCTTTATTTAAGTGTTCTAGAGGAGACCATTTAGAGGAGGCCAGGTACCATTTCTTCATGATGCAAATTTTGTAAGAAGCTCGAGGACAAATTGAAGCTACGTTAAATGGATATTCACAATCGATATTTTTTTACTCTGACTTATGCATGATGGCAATGAATGCCTTATTACTCTTAATCAAGGCTGCCACCATAACTAATGAAGAATGTTGGTTGCAAAATAATTTGAGAGTGGAAGATGGTTAAGAGTAGAAACCATGGAAGCATAACGGGGATCCAAAGGGTCTTAAATTTGAGAGATTATGTGACTATCTCCTTAAATTTAACTTTTAACAAAAAGAAAGGTGGCATACTCGAAGCAGGTCCTATCAACATTAAATGTAGATCTTCTTAAAACTTTAAAATTTGTGTTAAATTTATTTTCTTTTAGTTTTTGAATTATTGATGTTATATTCATTAAATCCATAAATCAGAGATAGTCACATAATCTTCTTCATAAATGACAACCGAGGACTACTTTTATTTCACTTTTCATATGAGAGAAATGAACTAAGAAAATTAGATTGTTGAGGGAGATTGTAACCCCACTTCATGGGGAATCTTGTCATTATCAATAAGTATTTTAATACAAGCTCATTGCTTGATAAGAACTAGCTTGATCTAGTAGACTCCATGCATTCTTGCTTGAAGTGACTTCCACATTAAAGTTAGCGAATTTTGTATAAGCTTCAATGATTTTTTAGTCTAAGCTACCTATTGAAGTGATTGCCTCTCTTAATTTCATGTTCATCAATGAAAACCATCAATGTTGACTTATTAAAACTAACTTGAAAAATTAACTCCTCAACTACCCATTGGTGGGAAATTTTCAACAATTCCTTTGGTCAATTGAAAGTTGTAGTGTGAATATTGAAAATCTTCTTATAAGGGGCAAGTTTGTCACTTTACTTTATTAATCATCATTCCAGTGATCTTCTTTGAAGATGCTAGAAGCAGTAAATTATCATTTATATCACTCAAGGGTTTCTCAAGCAGATTAATATAACATTTAGCTGAAGAGGGAGTAGACAAAGTAATACACATGGAAGTCATTTAGTTGATCTTAATTTTTAATCTCTTAACAATCTCTTGCCTAACTTTAGTCCTCCTCTTGATCATATTAATTGATTTTTTTTTTTGCAAAGGGTTGGCAGAGTTTAGTCATAAGCTCCCCGATATAAACTCGACCAACCTAGAGGATTTTTCTCTCTCTTTCTCTCCATCCATTCATCAAATCACCCAAATCCCTTCACAAAAAACACTTCCCCACACCTCCTACACCATTAGAACAAATTTTTTTTTTCATCCATAACTTTCTCTCTCTAACCTAGAGAGAGAAAATTTTCTCTCTCTAGAATGAGAGTGAAATTTCTCCATGAATAGCTCCATCTCCACCCCAAGCATCTTCCCTCTCCACCATACCTCCAAATTCCTTCTTTAGAGAGAGAAAAAAATTACACTCTCTCTCTTTCTCTCTCCAAAATTGAGAAGGGAGGGATTTTTCTCAAAACCTACACCAAACCCTAAACCTAATTTTTTTATATCTCTCCATCCATTCATCAAATCACCCAAATCCCTTCACAAAAAACACTTCTCCACACCTCCTACACCATTAGAACAAAATTTTTTTTCATCCATAACTTTCTCTCTCTAACCTA